CAGCTTGCTGGGAGATTTTAGATATTTAAAATAATATAACTAAAATTTTTCTTATTTCTCTTTTTTGTATGCAAAAATAATGCATTAAACAACTTGCTTGGATATTAAAAGGATTTTTTTTCCCATTTTGGTTTAAAAAGGTCAACATTAACAAATAACTACTTAGGTGGTATTTACATAAAAAGTTCTTCTCTTTTTTTTTTTTCTAATCATCTTTTTCTTTGGCAGGGGGACAGGCTGTTACTTCTAATTGCCAAGACATCCCACAACACAAAATATTGGCCACATCCCTACGTCCTAGGAACAGCATGAGTTCTGGGCAAGGAGAAAGCAAATTCACTGTTTCTTCATGCACCTTATTTCCTCCATAGGATCTTTGGGATCCTCTAGAGGTAATGAGGTGTATAAAATGACAGTAATGACAATTTAATGACATTGCTGAATATCAAATTCAGTCAGGATCACCTGTTCCCAGAGACAACCCCAGGAGATGCCATGAAGGAAGACACAAGTATCTCGTGGCTGCACAGCACTCCATGAGGACATGAGTGGCACCTGAACATTAGCAGTGTAGCCTAAGGTCTCTTTACATTTGCTACCATTCACAGGTGCATAAATATAGCAGGAAATTTTTCCAAGTTCTTGGCAATACATTTTGTGCATCTGAGTTTGGAGAATGTCTCTAACATTTTAAATGTTTAGTGGCAAGCTTGCTATAGGAAACAGTCAACAAACTAAAAAAAAAAATTAGAATTAGATTGAAATAATTAGATACAAGAGCTCCAGTTAGAGAATTATTTCATTCTTTAATGCTTATTGTTATTTGTGTGTATAGCTGGATTACTCCCAGGTTTCTATCAGCTTCTACCAACAAAAAGCTCAGTGGAGAGAGAAAAATTGTTGGACACAAGACATAAAAAATCCTTTGAGCAAATGAAGATCAGCTTTATACACTTTGTCACACATTCATTAAATCCACACAGTCTGAACTACATTTACTCTTTTATTCTGTCACCTGACAGTTACTTTGCATTGCATGGCAGGGCCAAGTTGTGAGCAGGCACAGACAGAGTTTATGATGAATTGTAGAGTGTTCTTCTCCAAAAGAAGGAATATTAGGAAAGAAACTGGCCACGTTCCTTTCTGCAGCTTTATAATGTATTAGATATCACAAATAGCCTTTACCTAATCAATGTTTTCTCATCTGTTACCAAATGAGACCCTTACAAGATCTTCCAACTGAAACTTTTTAAAAGTGAAGTTTAACATCAGACCATGCACAGCTTGCTGCTCTGTTGTATTCTTATTGTATATTGTATATTCTGTTGTATATATTCAGATAGTGTTTGTACTTTTACAAGCCTCCCTCCTGGGGTATTTCTCTAGTTTCAAATTTAGATAAACCACCACTGAGTGCTGTGCACCTCAGCATCACTGAGGACAGCATCCACTGATCCCCTTAATGCTGTTGTTAATGCTGGCTTCAGGCAACAGCAAAGGACTTGAAATTGCCTGGAAAAAAACTGGTCTCTTGGGTGTACAGATATGCTCTGCATGATTTGTGCACATTTTTAATATGGTACTAAATGGAAGTGCTCACAAAATATCAAATTATGTACCTGGATATACCTCTCAGGGTCATGCATTGCTGTTGTTCATCTCAGATATATTCTGTGACTGTGAGGCAACAAGTAACTGATGTGCTTTAGACTGAAAGATTTGCAATATTGGACCATGGGAGTCAGAGACAGAAGAAGTCATGAAGACCATGTCTTTTTTTTTTTTTTTTGTCAGCACAGGAACACTGCTGGACTGGGCTGAAAATTTATGAGGAAAACACAGGTCCTTTTTCTGAGGCAGCTGAATTTACCTCACTGCCATCCTCAAAGCACTCTGTTCCATTACCTTTGTACATTTTCTAGGCTGCATAGCAGCTCTCTGTTGCCCCATATTTTACATCTGTATAAAATATATGATGTCTGTAAAAGTATAATTCTCACCTAGTATACCCAGAGGAGCCACACAATCAATGTGACAATACAAAGTTTCAGTAATTCAAAACCCAGGGAATAAACCTGCGCCTGCTGAAGAGTTGGCAACAGTATATATTGTTGCACCAGGACAGGTTCTGAGGACTGGTGAGATAAAATAAGGACGGAGAAGACAGACAGGAAAAAATCCCTATCCTCTATGTATATATAGAAACACACAACACTGTTTTAAAAAGCTTTGTGACAAAGGAAGATTTCAGCCAAGGTGCTGGAAACTCCATGGCTCCTGGGTGCTGGAAACTGGACTGTCATTCCACTTGTGCTTTCTTTCTAGCTGAATTTGTTCTCTCCAGCTAGTCTCTCTGATGTGCTCACCTGAATAAACTACCACATCTGTACTGCCTGTGGACAGTCTTCGTTCAGCCAAGCCTGCTTCAGAGTAAGGATTAAACTGCAGAGCAGAAGTTTGTGAAGACTGAAAAAGCCTGGTATGGTAAGCACCTTGTGCAATGACTAGCATGAAAGAGCCAAAACAGTATCTGGATTCCCAGAACATAAAGTTCAAAAAGAAAAGTTGCAATGAATTTCATTACAGTTTGACTCAAGGTAAATACTTGATTAAAGAAGACATTACAGTCTGTAAGCTCTGTAATTTTCTTCACACAAACTCATCATTCCAGCTCCCTTCTACTCTAGTACATATTAATTTTTAGTTTTATAGCTTTCAGTGAATTCTTAAATAACATTTACTTTTTCCTTGCACGCACTGTTTATTTTTATTCATACAGACATCCAACAAAAGCTGAATAAATTCTGCATTTTATTGCAATAGCAGTCAGACATAATCCTTGGGAGACAAAATGTATTTCACTAATTTAGTTTTTGTGGCAAATTGGCAACTAGGGAAGAAATATGACCTCAGTGAGTAAGATAGTAGCCTAGACCTGGAAAAATGAATTTGAGACTCTCTTTTACCATTGCCTTTCCATTTTACTTTGGGAAAGCAAAATTTCCCAACCCTTAATGTCATTGGCTTGATGTCACTGACTAACACTTATTCTGCATAAAGCAAGGCACCCAAACAGGCTCCCTGTGCCCCAGCTCTGCTCCTGTGAAAGGATGTAACAGTACATTCCTACCTCCACATTGTGGTGCTCTTTACAGAGAAGCAGAAGGGATCGAGGGCAAATTCAGTTTTCCATTTACCCCAACAGCAAGCAGGACAAACTCTTTCCACAATTCTCTCTCATTAATCTGCTGTGGGAGGTTGTGTCACCTCCCCATGCTTCACACGCCTGTGTTTTTCTGGCTGTGGCAAGATCATTAGTGGAGATGGAAGCTAATGCTGATATGGTTATCTGTTTTCTGATGGCTGTACTGAAACTCATTTATTTTACACAGAACATCAAATGGGCGTTGAATGATGATGAAGTGGTTTTTTATTATCAATCTGTGCTTCTGGGCAGAGAATCATAAATGCTAAAATATCTAAGTACTCCAAGCAAACTTCAACAGTTTTTGCCTTAAGGTCCATCTCAGAGATGATGTAAGATAATATTGCTTCAAAATTTCTTTTTTTATCTCACAAGTACAGTATCTGACCTAAAAATTTCATAGGAGGATATTTATAGTAGCTACAAGAGTTATTTTTCATCAGAATGTGCTTGTATATTTCTCTGAAGGATTATCTCACATTCTGCTGGTCAAACCACTGGAACACAGTTATTACACAGCATCTAAATCACTATTGGCAGCATCTCCTCAGGCATGCGTGCCTGGACTCATGGAGAGAAGAGCTGACAGGCATTTTAAGGGTAGCAGTTTTGGAATATGTTTCAGCAACAAGGCAGGGGAGAAATCACAAAATACAAGACATTTTCCCAGCTTACCTTTAAAATTCAGAAGTAGTGTACCATAAAAATAACTCAGCACATCAGAACTCTATATTTACTGAAAAAAGAAAACACATCCATGCTGATGCTCAAGGCAGATTGATCTAGAGAGGTAAAATCAGCTTCTAAACTCCCAGCCATATTTGCTGACAAAAAACACTTCCTGAAATTTTTTCTGCCCATGCATCTGGCATGTTCCAGAGTTCCTGCTCGCCATAGTCTGGGTGCCCAACATCCTCTCCTGCTCTCCCTGTCCCATCTTGGGCTCTGTAGACCCAGATAGCCACATGGCCACTGTTCAGAAAGCAGTCAATCCTTGCCAACTCTTGACTGTTCACTCGAGTCTCCCATTTCATTGTCCCATGTCCAGAACTGATGTGACTTGGCAGCCCTCTGTTATTCCCTCCAGTGCCACCAGATATTCATAAGGACATGGGATTTAAGTTGGAAGGGGATCTATAAGGCTCCGGACCTAGTTCTGTGCTACTGCAAATAAATATCTCCCATGGTACTGAGGCAGGTGACCTGCAAAGGTAAAGTCATGTTAGTAGGAACACACCAATGTACATAATTTGTGGATGTGCCTTTAAGAAGCAGAGAAAATTGAGATTTAAGATCAAAGTCGGAAGTCCACGGTGCTTTCCTGTACTTAAAACAAAATCAATATAAAGAAACATACAGCTGGAAGGAATGCTAGCTTGATAAAATCACAGTAAATTAGGAGTCCTTTAAGGCAATGGATGGTGTAGCTTCTTCCTCAGAATTAGGCACTTCAAATATTGACAGAACTTGTAAAGCACAATCAATATACCAATTCCTTTGTGAACTATTAATTATATATATTGCTGATGAATAATCATTTAATTAGCATAATGGGAGGCTTCAGTGAAAAGGCCCTCTACCAGGCATACTGGACCTAAAAATAGCAATAGCTTTTCAACCATGACGCTTTGCATGAAAATGCAAATGCTCAGCTTCTGTTCTTAACACTTGTTACATCGCTCGCTCGGCCAACACAGAGCTCTGCTTATAGAGGTTGTGCCCCTTATCACTGCAGTGCTGCCATGTATCATTGGTTCCTCTAAGGCAAGGTGATGAGGGGTTTGGTATGGATTACCTGGATCAGTTCATCAAGCTCTGTTGCATTCACACAGGAATGCTGAGATACAAACGTCTGCTTCTGAATCACAATGGTGGTTCTCTGGGAGGTCTCATGAGGCTGCTCCAGGGCTTTAAATACTGTTGCTCCAATTATTAAATACACGACTACCACCAGAAAAATTGTTGAGACTGTCTTCCATTTCATAACATTAATGGCCGAATCACTTTCCTCCCTTGAAGCAAGCACGGTAGGCTTGGTGGAAAATGATAATCTTGGTTTGGAGTTCTGAGTGGCCGATTTGGGATCCAGCAAGTCAGGTGCCGCCACTGGCAAAAATAGAAAAAGAAAGTTAATGTTTACAGTGCCACTCAGATTTTGCTAGCTAAACTTCTTGCCAAGAGATTACATTAATTCTCTTGCTTCTAAAGGGAATTCCTAAACTGCTTAATCTTTCTCTTAATCCCATGACACCTTACAACATATCTGTTGCTCTGAGTGGTAGTGTCCATGCATAAGCACATTTGCAATGTTTTCTATGTCTGTCCCCACGATATTGAATCATTTCCAAAAGCAGATTTCCCCTACATCCTTGCATTCCATTAAATTATTCTAAGGTAGTATTTTGCTGCAGAGATTCTTCATGTCCACTGTTCTCTCAAGCACTGCTAAGCAGCTTTCCAGCTGTGTTCTACCTCAGCATTACAGAAATATCTGGAAAATACAAAACCTCATCTCTTTCACCTATTTTGTCCCATGCTCCGACAAATGCTCTCGGAGAGCAGTTGTGTGATCATTTCTAAACTCCCCAGACACAACCGTAAAAATAAGACATTGCTCATCATACTGATCTTAACAGGCTAATTGTTTATTGATTACACCTTTCAGAAAACAGTGGTACAACACATGTGTGCTTACTGGAAGAGTCATGCATTTGTTAGAGCAGGTATTTCTATTTACAGCTACAAAAACTCCACCGGGCTAGTAAAAGAGTGGCTGGGTGTGTTAATCAAGTACTTGGATAACTCATGTGACTACCAGTAACTACATGGGCACTAAAAAAAATCCTCCACATCAAGCGCAGATAAAGGTCTCCTGTGGGAAGATGGTCATGGCAGTGACCACACAAGCTATATTTAAATTGTTTTGAATAACCAGTACATTTTAAATGGCCAAGACAGCTCTTCCAACCGCTGGTAGGAAAAGCTCAGGTCTAAATCTAGAGGGAAGTCTCCCACAGGACAGCAGAGATGGGATGCATCCCTGCAGGGAAGGCGGCGGTACTTGGCAGAGTCACCGCCTGGGAACCCGCCGGGCTCCGGCACACGCCGCTGCTCCGGGAGAAGGGCTCGGGGGGGAGAGTGGCAGCCCCAGCCCGGGCCCAGCGAGACCCGGGGCACCTCTTACAGCCCGCGGGGTGGGCGCCGGGCACTCCACGCGCAACGCGGTCACGCCTCCCACAGCTCCGGCCCCCGCCCCACGGACAGCGGCGGGTCGGGCACAGCCCCCCCGTCCCGCACCTTGGCGGGGGGAGCCCCTTTCCCGCTGCCTCCTTCTCTCCCGTGGCAGCCCCCGAGCCCTTCCGATCCCCCAGGGCCGGTGCCGGGGAGCGCTCCCAGCGCGGCCGGGGCCGCCGAGCCCGCCCGGAGCGGCGCCGACCCGCCGCGGCCGCCGGCGGCGAACAAAGGAGCGGGCACCGGGCACCGCCGCTCCGCCGCCGGCCCCGCCGCCCCCTCCCGCGGCGGTGCAATGAGCCGGGGGACGCCCGCCGCCCCCGCGAGGTGCAGCCCCGGTAGCCCCCGGGAAGCCGCCGCCGGCTGGGATGCTCCGCCGCGGGGAGCGGCGCGGGGGCGAGGCGGCCGGCGGCGGAGCCGGGGCGCGGCGAGCGGGGCCGGGAAGGGAGGGGAAAGGAGCCAGGCAGGGTACAAAGGAGCCCCGGGCCGCCGCGGCGAGCATCCCGGGGTCCGGTGCGGGGGAAGCAGGGGCGCATGCAGCATCCGCAGGGCTGGGAGCGGGGAGGCACGCCATTGTGCTCGTACTCACTTCTTATTTACCGACCCGGTGCCCTCTCCTCGCTCCACGGGCAGGCATTTTTTCTATGCTTGGATAGATACAGTTAGAGCAAATTAAAAAAAAAAAAAATTAAATAAAAAATGGAAAAGGAAAGAAAGGCAGGAGCAGACGGAGAGGAAGAGGCTGATGGATGGGTCTGGAGGAGAGGGAGCGGCAGGGGCGGGCGGGCTGGCAGCGCGGATCCCGCCGGCTCTCCCCGGCCCCGCGGCGTGCGATGTGCCTCACGTCGCGCATCGCGCATCGCACATCGCGGCGCTCCCGTGTGTGCGAGTGCGTGCGAGTGAGTGCCCGTGTGCGAGTGAGAGCCCGTGCGTGTGTGTGTGTGCGAGTGAGAGCCCGTGTGTGTGTGTGTGTGTGTGTGTGAGAGAGCCCGTGTGTGCGCGAGTGACTGCCCGTGCGTGTGTGAGTGCCCTTGCGCGCTCCGGGCGTGCGGAGCAGCCCGAGCCCGGCGGTGCCTTTTGTGGGGCGGCGAGCAGCCGCACCGCTGCTCGCCCCCCCCGCCCTTCCGCGCCCCCTTCCGCGCCCCCCGCCGGCGGGGGGGCAGCCGCTCCGCGCCGCTCCCGGCCCGCCGGGGGTGCGCACCCTCCGCGCAGGCTGCCCGGCGGGGCGGCCGCAGATGCTGCAGGGGCGCCGGGGGAGGATGGAAGGGGAGCCGGGGGGAGGCAGAGCGGTACCTGCGGAGAGCAAGGTCTCGCCTGGAAACAAGCGGGGAGAGAGGAGGGAGAGAGGGAGGAGGAGAAGGCACCGGCCAACCCCGCCGGCGAGGCTGGACCTGCCGGCGGTCCCCGCTCCGGCCCCACACCCTGCCGCCTCGCCAGAGCCTCTCCGTGAACTTTTGAACTGTCCGAAATGTCACCGAATTAGCAGGAGACAGGGGACAAGAGGGGACACCTCGGCCCTCGCCGGAGAACGGCGCGGGGCTATAGGGCCAGGCTGTTCTGTCCTTCCCGGCTCGGCCTGATTTTAACCCGGTGCTCGGCAGCCCTGGTGTGTTGCTGCAAGGAGTTAACTAGGTGGGATCTGGGAGTCAGGGATGGTAGCTGCTCTCCTATCGCACGCGCCGCCTGCGCACCGCCTTCTTCCATTTCTGTCTGATAGATACATCAGAAATGCTGCTTCAACTGTGCTTTCTGCCACTAAAAAGCCTGAAATTATCCTTGCTATCTTTGCCGTGGGCTAACTCCCCTATTTCCCAGTCATCTGTCACCTGTGACACTATCCATGGGTCAGTTGTTCACACTGAGGTGAAAAGCATGAAGACAAATCCTAAAAGAGGATTTACCAAGAGAAACCAAAAACTGCTCCCACAGCCACTCTCTAAAAAGTCTAAAAAATTACTCACCGTAACAAATGGGTATAAGTCTCAAGCATTTAAAGCCAGAGGCTGTATCTGTAAAATGGCCAAAGACAGTCATACATCGGGTGTTTAATGGGCTATAATCCCGCTTAAATCAGCAGCACCATCAGCAAACACTTTAGAAGTCACTTATTTTAACGCTTCTCCGTATCAATGTGACATAATACAAATGAGTGTAATATTGAGTTCCTCAGGACTCCAATTTCAGCAACATCAATCACACCACTCTCACCCTGTGTGTCCACAAGTCTGCACAAGATGCAGCACAGGGCAGGAAGCTGCCCCTGCTATTTCAGGGTGAGCTGTAGTTTATTGCTGCCCATCCCTGGGAACCAGCAGAGCACTTGTCAAGTAATGAAAGCCTCTGGGCCCAATCCAACCACCCCTTGCAAGGTGATCTTCAGTCACAGGGTTGGCTTCATCAACACAATACTCAATACTCAAACACAAGAGAAATGCCTGCTTCTGACTACTGATACTCCGTCATTCAAGGAATTCTCAAAGATGTAAGATTCTCATACCTGAATATTTTTAATATAAAATACTCTCCCCAAAAAAATCATCATATTTTCTCCTTTCCTTCCAGCAGATTTCTTAATCATTAGCCTATGTAAACACTGGCTGTTCCTATCTCATGGAAAAGAATTTTGCAGGATTTCTTTGAACGTCCTATGGAAAAACAGGCGTGAACATTTTCCTCCATGCTGACCTGTGTCTCCATAAAATACTGTGGAAAATACTACATGCCTTTCTTTAGCAATCTAAATATTTGGAATGAGATTTTGTTTTTCTTTGAGTGAAGGAATTATTATTAAAAGCTTAAAAAGGCTCATATTTATTGCCTACAAATTGAAATCCATGGGAAGCCTTCCAATAGCTTCAGGAGGGTTTGGAGCAGGCCTTAAATTTAGGGATTCCACCCAATGGGAAGAAAACCTTTTGAGATCTGCTCCAGGAATTACTGCATTGGTGCCTTAACCTTAAGACCTGAAGAGCTATCTCTGGGAAAGCAGTTATTTCCATTAAATACTTAGTAAACATCTCCAATGTCTACTATCAGTTGACTGCTATTTTCCACCTATTGTGATCCCAGATGCAATCCTCAGCTGGATCCTCATCTTACCACTTACTCTGAGTGGACTTGAGCTGTGCATTCTCATTTCTAGCAGGGATAGAAACACTCCACATACAGCATTGATCTTCAAATTCGGCAAGAAAACCAGTAATCCTTTTTGTGTCTACAATAAAAACTATTGTGTACAGCAGCTCTTATTTTCTGGAGGCCTTTTACAGCACTAGCCTTTACTCTATGGAGTCATGCCCATCAGTATTTTTCTTTCTTGCAAGGTACACCACACATTGTTTGAATATTGTGTGTGACCATTTTGCCCTCAAATTTGGAACTGACATTCGACCAGCTTGACGCATCAGGCCTGAGCTTTGCTAAACAAACACACTAAATACAATGCTGACAAAACTTCCCACTAACCAATATAGACAAAATTAAGCAATAAAAGGGGCTAAAACACAGAGCTCCAGCCTTGCAAGCAAATGGATTTGCTGCTGAGCCAAGGAGATTTATCTGAACAAACTGTAAAAACCTTTTTCTAAGATTAAGTATAAGCAGGCTTGTGTATTTCATGCTAGCATGAGAAAAACTCACAAAGTACAGGACTGTCAAATGCTGTCTAAAAATGTATTGGCATGAGTTTGGGATGGCCACAATACTCACAGACGGTGGGTGCTGGAAGCTGCTCAACTCTTTGAAATGTTAAAAGTAAGCTCAGCCAAGAGAGACAGGCATGCAGCATGCAGAAGAAGTCAAAGCTGCATGATAAACACAGCAATCCCATATTCATGGAAATAACAGCTGCAGATGATTGAAAGCTTTGGTAGGAC